CGGCGTGCGCGTGAAGTCGTGCGTGCGCTCCGACCACGGCCGCGAGTTCAAGATCCCGTCGCCGCCTTCCTCCCACTGCGCGCTGCGGGGCGGGGAGTGGGAGGGGCTTCGAGTATTGAGCTATCCGACACAGTTGTTGTTTCACTGCGACTCTGATCCTCTCCAGCGTCACGGCAAGAAATCCGCAGGGGGAAGCAGGGAGAAGCGGGCAGGGTGGAGGGGAGGGTGGGGGGAGCAGGCAATGGGAAGCGCGCGTGAAGGGTCGAACGAGTATCGCGTGACGGGTCGACGAGTACCGAGAAAACCTTCCAGGCTCGGTATGTTCTTGGTGCCCGAAATTCTTCCTGGAGGTCAAAGGCTGGATCGCCAGCCCAGGTCTTTCACTTTTTGAAGTCGATCATCGGACGTGACCCAAAGGTCGAGCGGACAGCCGCAGAGGCACCAGCGAGCGACCTCGACAGCGCGGTGGAGGCACGCCCAGCGGTCATCAGGACAACACTCGGCATCGGGCGCAGGGCCGTCCGCGATGCTCTGACGGATGCGTCAGGGTCGCAGGCGTTTGTTGGAGCTTGCCAAATTCCGCCCCGCGGGAACAGGGCTCGGCGAGGTCGGCTCCAGAACCGATGGAACAGTTCAGATGAAGAGGACCAGCCGTGGGAGGACGACGAGACCAACGAGGAGGAGGGGGAGGAGGAGGGGGAGGGGGAGGAGGAGGAGGAGTTGGAGGAGGAGGAGGAGGAGGAGGAGGAGGAGGAGGAGAAGGTTCAGGAGGGCGAACAGGCTGGGTGGCAGGGACAAGGGATCGCGGAGGAGAAGGGGGGGAGGGAGGAGGAAGGAGACCAGGAAACGGAGAAGGGGGGGAGGAGGAGAAGGCGGGAAGAGGAGGAATAGGAGAAGGAGAAGGAAAAGGAGGGAAGGGAGGAGCAAGTCGGGGGCTCAGACAGGGGCGGACTGGCCCACTGAGAGACGTCACCCCCTGAAGTCGCCGATCTGCCGTACGGACCCCCGCACCGCCCGAGGGGCTTCTAGCCTGTCTGGCGGCAATGCACCACCGATTCCAAGGCAACGTTTCCCCCCTGAGCCGGACCCCCCCCTTTCGCACCACTCTCAGCCAGGGGAGGCGGGGCCAGGAAAGGGAACTCGGGCACTGCTCCCTCCTCCCGCCTGCCGCTCACACTGTCCCGCGACGTTTCTCTTATCGAGCAGCCGTGGATCCCCTAGCTCTCCCCCTTCCTTCTCGTGCCCCCCCTTCTTCGATGCGTGGCCTCAGCGCTCCCGACCTCTTCCCCAGAGGGGGCAGCTCCTCGCTTCGGCTTCACGCCCGTGCCCGATGGCCCCAGGGTCCCCGAGATCGCCCTCGGGAGGCCGCTCTTGGTCGGGGGCGGCAAACATGGGGGTGATGGCTAGGGGTGTGTGGATCTCATGGCGGGGGCCATACTATCTCCTCAGATTTCGTGGCGCCTCCTCTTAGGACGCGCACATGCCGCCGGCCATGATTTGCGCCCTCCCCCTTCTGAACGCCCCCCTCCTGGACGCCCCCGACCGTGGGAGAGCCGAGCCGACAGGATTAGGCAAACTCCGTTCTTCGGAGGTCAGGGCTCCGCCCACGACCCTCCGGTGGAGGGTGCGGGGCTGTGGCGAACGGTGGTGGGGCGGGGCGTGAGGTAGGGGCGGTCCATGCCCCTCGCCCGCCCGATGTCTTCTCTCCATCCTCGCCCGGCTCCTCCCCCACCCTCCCCTGCTCGCTGTCCCCGCCGAGCTGCTTCCCTCAGGATGTCCAGTGTGAGCACCGGCGCGCGAGTCCAAGAAAGCGGCTTCAGGGCCATCCCCCCCCCCCTTCTCCCTCGCTTCATCCTGGCCTTCCTCCTCTCCCTCCTCTCCCCTAGCCTTCCTCCCTCCCTCCTTTCTCCTCCTCTCCCTCTCTCCTCCTCTCCCCTCCTATCCCTATCTCCCTCGCTTCATCCTAGCCTTCCTCCTCTCCCCTGGCTCCCTCCAGGCTCCCTCCAGGCCGTCCAGGTATGGCTGGATCGGATTGGGCCGGAGGATCGCGCCGCACCGCCGAGGCATCCGCGACGCGGCGCGATCCAGAGCCCGACGGTTTCCATCCGTCATAGCTGGTGAGTCGTTGATGTGTCGGCGACCCGGTGCGATCCTCCGGCCCCATGTATTCAGGCCCTCTTTGTCAGGGCAGAGAAAACGCCGCTACCCTGGTTTACGAGGCGCTGTGCTCTGAAACTCCTGTGGGCTGACAGGGTAAACCCTGCGTGATGTGCCGCGTCCTGGCGGCTCTAGGCTTTGGGGGTTCCCAGGAGGTTTACAGACCACGCACTTGTAATCCTGGGTAGGGTCGTTTTTTCATCCCTCAAATTTGGGCGGCCTCCTCTTACCTCCTCCCGAGCCGCCCCCGTGATCCGTCAGGTCCTCGCTGAAGGTATCTGATATGAGCACAGGCGTACGAATCCAAGCAAACGACTTTAGGCTATCAAGAAGCTGCCTATGACGCAAGACAAGTCGCTTGCGCGAAAGCCAGCTTGGCTCCGCCGCCCTCAGGGACGGAGAGTGCGAGGACGAGCGGCGTACCAGGGAATTGCCAGGAACCGCGAAATTTCAGCGGATGACGAGGGACAGCGAGATGAATAGTGATTTTGTGGGGATTGGAAAGAGCGAGAGCGAGAGAGAGAGGGGCATGCCGCTACCTGGATAGTCCAAGTTGGTTGCGAATGGCCGTCAGATAGTGGCGACGGCATGTGCTAGGCGGTGGAGGAGGAGGTTCTGGAGGAATAAGGTGCTAGATAGAGCAGGATCAGGAGGAGAGGAGGAAAGGACTTGCAGGATATACTGCATGATGCGAATTTGCATGAGGAGCGCTAGCTTGTTACCTTCGCTGTTTGCTTTTCACGTCGGAATCATAGACTCTGAGCGCGCGACACGTTGCAAGATTGCCGAGTAACGCCTGCATCGTGTTGCCAATGCTTTTTCGCATAGGGCAGGCCGATGAGGAGGAAGAGGATGAGGACAACGAGGACGGGCAGGTTGAGGGGAGGAGAAGAGGAGAATGAAGGGATGAAGAGGATGAGGGAGGAGTGGAAGGAGGACGAGGTACAGAAGCAGGATGAGCAGGGTAAGAGAGAGAGAGAGAGTATGAGGGAATACCGCAACATGTGCCACGGATTCACTGTAGGGGGCAGAGTGGCCCCTCACGCAGCAGCACCTTTTCGCAGGTGGGCGGCCAATGCAATTATATGCGTTTTCGGTTGCTGAGGTCAGGTCGACACTCCTGTAACCCCTCGTGTTGCGAGGTCCACCTGTGTAGTAATCTCCCCTTCCATTCGTCCGACGTAGTTTTGGCTCTGTCCTTATATGTCCTCCGAGTCTTCCCACACCCTGTCCGCCTTCGAGAATCACTGCTGACCCTCTGACCCCTCGCGACTCCACGGGGTTGTGGAGTGTTGACCTGGCACGTTCTCGCGCTGTACGGCCGGCTTCGCGCGCCTCTGCCTCTACGCTCCCTGCCCTCCTCATTTTCTCGCTCCTCCCTCCTCCCTCTCCCCGGGCATTTTGTCTCAAGTTCGGGGGATCAAGGGCATGCTGGCGTGTGGGAGACGGCTCCTGGCGGCTCCCCTTACCACCCACAGGCGTCTGCCAAGACAGGGGTGGTACTACCTCTCACAGAATACCCTCCGACGCTGCAACCTGCGAACGGCTTCCCGATGATGTGAAGCGCGACAGGTACCATCGTTTCCAGTGCGTTGCATCGCTGTTTCCAGCCGAACCTCCGCTAATGCAACGAGGATCCTTCGAACCCGACCCAACAACCCCGAAGAGGAGGTGGCGAAAGCGGCCTGAAGCCAATGGAGGCCAGGTGGGGCGCAGCAGTGCGGTTGGCAACGCATGCGAAGGACTATTGTTTCTCTTCGTTCTGGTCCTCGGTCAGGCGGTGTAACCCCGGCGGCAGACTCCCAGGACGTTGACAAGATGGAGTGGCATGAGGTGATCAGTCTTCAGGCAGACGGTGCATCAGTCTAACCACGTGTGTGGCAGCAGTGCAACCGCGAGGGTCCCGCCCCCCCCCCCCCCCAGGCATAGGCTCCCGAGCATCGGCTGACTGACTGGTGGCGGAGAGGCAGAAATATGTTTCAAAAGCAGAGAGTGTACTCACGTAAGCAAAGTAAGACAGCGGCCGAGCAGGCCGCGGAGTTGGATGCTATGGATGACAGGGTCACTGAACTCAATGGGGACCCAGGAGCAGCGGTTCAGCCCACCAGTGCGTCGCTCGATGCGCTGCTGGCCGACATGTTCAATCGTCAGGTCCTGAATCTCCTCGAGTCAGGAGCGGATCGCGAGCGGATTGCCAAGCGCATAACGAATCCTAAAACATGGTTTGACGCTTCGAGTGTCCTCACCAGCCCATCCAGACCCGACTGGAGGTTTTCTTGAGGCCTCGTGAAGGCTATCTTGAGCCATGCTCGGCTAGAGGCTGCTAAGGGCTATCTTAAGCATCCTCAGCAATATTGGGCCATCTTGAGGCTTCCTCGAGTCCTCTTGGAGGTCTGTCGGAGGTTATATTGGGCCCTGGGGAAGGATAAGGAGGAAGGAGGAACGTTGATCAGTAACTCACATGATATATAATGATGCAGGAGAGGGATGCTGCAGAGGAGGCATATCTCATAAACACCGGTTATTCCTGCCTCTCTTCTGGAGCGGCGTCTTCACAAGCACGGGATACTTCTGCCAATGGAAGAGGACGTTGGGGAGCATGTAGAGGAGGAGGAGGGGTGAGCGGAGTAGGTAGGAGGAAAGAGAGAAAGGAACAATAACAATGAAGAGGAACGCGGATGTGTGTATAGGATAGAGGGAGGGTGAGGAATAATAGTTATGACGGGCAACGGATATGATTGATGATAATGCAGGAAGAGAGTGACACACGAACACGAAACGGAATACTGACCTAAGGAAATACAACAAGCAATCTACAGTAAGCGTATCATATGTATGTGTATAATATACGTTTATAGTTCATAAACTTGTCTTAGTGTGCATTTAGCAGGCGCCGATGAGCGGATGTGGAACCAGCAACTCGATGCGTGGCACGGTCAACCAACATTTGACACAACAAAGCGACCGATTCTTGCCACCTGCATGGCAATGCGACAGCAATCTAAAACATTGCTCAATCAACCTACGGTTGAGAAAACCAACACGATGTGAGCTCAGAGGAGTCAAACATCAGTTGACAGTAGTGAATGCCTAGGTTGCTATTCAGCGTATATACTGGCGCGGCACAAGCGCAGCGACGTTGTAGGTGCCCATAGGAATGTGCTTTGGACAATACGCAACAACAGATATCGCTGTATTGGACTGTTCTATTACATGGGCTCGTGGCAATGGCTGACTGGATCCTGGTCGTCATAAGATGGCCCATGTCGTAGGCCGCGACAGCTCAAACATGCCAGCGTCGACGACAGACGAATGAACAGCGCTCAAAAACATTGCGTTCCGGGTGTCCTGCCACGCTTTCTCCATTTCATCCGTTCTGCGGCTAGCTCTGCCCCGGCCGTGGTCTTCTCTTTCTTTGGAGCGCCAGGGCACTCTGGTTCGTCTGCCTTGTGGCGCATCCTCGCAGGCGTATTAGCAGTCATATCGTATCCGCACCAATTGTGAAGCTTTGCCTTCATGGACCGAATGCGTTGCGTGTCGCGCGCGTCCTTCTGGGTCTCCACAGGAAGCAGTTGCGGCCGCTTCTCCGCTGCTCTCCGCGCGCCCAAAACGAGCCCCCGCCAAACAAGGGTAATGTCGCGTGGCAAAAGCCAAAGCTGGATCATTCAATGAGCCTCTGGCGCCCCGCGCGGATGGGACCCGATGGTTCTCGAGCGTGATCGGATGTTCTTCATTCCTCTTCAGATATGAGATCTCTGCGAGCGAGGTTCTTAGCAAGTTTTGCGTCGCACTGCGGACTCACTGCCTGGCGGCGCGAATTACACGTCGAAGCCGGAGCCGCCCCATCTAGCCCATAAGGGGGCATCGAGGTCTGCACGGGGCATTGGCGCCTTCGCGAGGTCGGGGCCAAGCTGGGTGAAATTCCCGTCATCAACAATACATTGTTTCAATGTTGGCTAGAAAGCAGGTTAACCGCTTAGACAACGCACTTTTTTCACCAATTCATGCAAACATCGCAGGGTTCCTTGAATGGCGGAATACAGGAAATCTGGTTGTGGCGGAGTACTACAGGATTCATCTTTTGGCGGAGTACAAACGGGTTCGTTGTTGATGCAGGATGTAATAAGAAGGGTATTTTCCAGCCCCCCACATCCCAAGGACGACCCCCACCCCACAACGAATGCGAAACGTTCGTGATAGGGCACTTTGTATGTATATGCGAACGTATATGTATGTGCATAATATATATCTATATATATATACACATGTATGGTGTAACTGTTTGCACATAAATCGGATCGGATCGAACGTCACAGTGCCATTCCACCAGCAAGATCCTTACTTGCAGTGCCAATGTAGTCCCGAGAATTTCCCGGGTTCAGAACAACAGAGAGAACAACAACACTTGAATAACCAAGCCGCCACAGGGGTCCTACAACTATGCCGGATTTGGCATGACGTATCCTGCATGTCGGTAAACGCCCCCAAACGTTATTGTAGTGGCCTTCGGCCAGTGCCGCCGATCCGGGTCGCTCGGGGTTATTCTCCAGACGCAGAAATTATGGGCGCACACTCAAACGCACACACACAGTCACACCACTTAACCTGCGCCGCAGACATGCGCACACAGCATCACCCACACACACATACTAGTTGGGAAACGCTCCTGTAGTACTAGTAGTAGTATTAGTAGTAGTAGTAGTAGTAGTAGTAGCAGTAGTAGTAGTAGTAGTAGTAGTAGTAGTAGTAGTAGTAGTAGTAGTAGTGGTTGTGGTAGTAGTGGTAGTAGTAGTAGAGGCCTCGTTCCGCGGCTTCTCTCGACTTCCCGCGGTCTCTCTCAAGTTTCGAGCACGCGGTGAGTTTCACGATATATGTGTGTGTATGTACGCGTGCATGCATGTATGCATGCATTGATCATGTGTGCCTGTGTGTAGGTACGTATGTATGTATGTATGCTTGTGCGCGTATGTATGTATTTAGTTTGTATGTATGTTTGTATGTGTGTATGATAATATGTGTGTATGTGTGTGAATGTAAGTATGTATGTCTGGAAGATTGTTTTTCTATGTATGCAAATGTGTTTAAATGTAGGTATGTATGCATGTGTGTATGGATGTGCGTTTGAAGAGCGAGGATGTTTCAAAGAAGAGGCACTCGGTGACGCGATCGTTGAGGGATAGGAGTGAGGTCGCAGAGGAGGAGGAGGAGAATGAGGAAGAGGCGATAACTTGAAGGAAAACGATGAGACGGAGGACATCCTGCCGGTGGCGCCCTGGGCGGTGCCGCGGAAGAAACCGGGGGCCTGCCGGAGGCAGTCTGGAGGCCTCTGGGGAGCTGTTTTGG